TCATTAATCCTAGCCAAGAACTTTTCATACGACACCATTTTCAGCGTATTTTGTTTCCACCTATTATATTCTGGAGGAGATGGTTCCTTCCACACACTGAGAATAACTCGAGCCGCTGCAATCACCCCCACCTTTCTAACCACAAAGTCATATTTTGAAACCCCAGGTAACGTTTATGGGAATTCTTGACCATTCTTCCAAAAGCACATTTGTGAGGTCGCACACTGATATTGAACAAAAAGGCCTGGCTCCTGGTTTCCACTCTGATCCCGAAGGCGCTTTATCGGGCTTGAGCTCCGGACTCTTCCTACAAAATTGGGAACATGAAATTGTCCCAAATGTCTTGGTGTGCTGAAGCTTTAAGAGTTTCTTTGACCTGAACTAAGGGGACAACGCCACACCATAATCCACCCTTCGGCACAATGCAGTCAGGCATGTACTGTTGTCCTGGCAACACGGCCATGGAAATGATGGAAACACCTGAATTCAATGATTTGGATGGACAAGTGAATATTACAGTACAGCGTACCTGTGTCTGTAAGGGTAACATCAAAGTAGAAACACTAATAAAGTCTAATAAACAAACAGCCAACACTGATAATAAATAAAGAATTTTAATATTTATGTACTTTAAATATATCCAGTATACATGAAGTAAACATAATTGTACACAATAACAGGATATACTTTCTTTTTCATACTTGGACTCATATTTCAAGTATGCAGATCCATTATAGCATCAGATATGTCGCAGTGCTTTCTTGGCAAATGGAAGATTATTCAAATGAACAGCATAGAAGTTATCTGGAAGAATCCCATCATGCAGTGCAGTATATTGCAGATAACTTTGGTATGGTGTCGACCAAAACAAAGCATGTTAGTTCATTTACAAAAGCAGAGAAAACAGCATTTGCATCTATGTGGACCAGAAACATGCATGTTTCTCCACAGGTCACTAACACGTTCCTAAACGTGACAAACGTAGCAGACATGAACCCTGCTGCTGCCTCGCTTTGCACGATTTTGAATGATTCTTGTTTTGTGTCCCGTTTGGTTTAAGAAAAAGCAAAATGTCCAAATCTGATAAAAGCTGTTAATACAACAAAAAAAAATCCCCTTTAGCAACAGCGGATTTGAAGTTTAGCATCAGGAGCACCGGCTTTCAATTTTGAGGACGTTAACTTCCCTCTAAAAGGCATCAAGTGTGTTTTTGTTGTATGAAATAGAGGCAAACTGAAGATTTCATACACCGGGATGTACTGCTCCCATCACAGAGCCGTGCAAACTGGATCTAAGCAAGAGGACGCATATGTACACGTACAGTCTGCCTACTTCCACAAAGCAGCACGATATGGGCACATTTAACAACGCTGCCAGTTCAGGGTCTGTGAAACGTTTGGTTTGTGGTGGGAGCAGCACACAGCTTTTGATTTTAATGACGTCTTTTTGTTGTTATAAATGGAGGCTATTTAAAGAAGGGAAACGAATGGCTTCATACATCACGATGTACTGTTCCCTTCCCTGAGCTTCAGTAACTGGATATTATTAGAATGAAAAAGAGAGAGAAGACATGTACATGTGAAAATACAGCGTTTGTAGTTTGAGAACCAGCCCAGTCGGACTTACGTGCACCTTTTAATAAAGTAGTACACGCCAATGTATGATGATCTGTTAACTTTGCATTAGGCAACACACTGTATGTGGAAAACTCAAGTGATGACTGCTGAAAATGTACCTGTAAAATGCTGTCCTGAAGGATTTCTG